GATTGCATGCACCTTATTTGCATAATTGTATCCACATGGACCTGTCAAGAGAACAGACAGCTTTGTCTCCAAGTAGATGCAGCCGGAGTGCTCCTTGGAGGCAAGGATGCTAAAATTTCATCTCACATACTTTGGACATGTTTCCAGGAGAGGCATGTTGCACTGGAGAGGCACATCATGCTTGGGAAGGTGGAGAGATGGTGAAAGAGAGGAAGGCCCTCAACCAGGTGGATTGACTGCAGCAGTGGATTCAAGTGTATCAGAGATGGTGAGATGGCACAGGAGAGGACAGGGTTCAGATCTGTTGTTCTTAGGGTCACTATGAGTCACCCTTGACAGCACCTCACAATAACAGCCACCCACACAAGAGGAAGCTCTGGTGCCTCAGTGGCAGGGGGTTGCACTGCTGACCCAAAGTAGATGGTTTCAAATCCACCAGCTGCTCTACAGGAGAATGATGGGCAGTCCCCTTCTGTGTGATTTACTGCCTCCCAAAACCTGCTGGAGGGTCAGCTATGAGTCAGCTCTGCCTTGATAGCACATAACAGCAGCCACCCACAGGATGGTTCCATGCATCTAACTGGCACTGTTATAAAGCTGTCCACTTGATGGACTCCTTGATGAGACAGGAGCGTAGTCCCACCTAGTCGTTATGCTTGGTAGAGTGGAGAGTCAGTGAAAAAAAAAGGAAGACTCTCAACAAGGTGGGTCCACACAGTGACCGCAAAGCACAGCAGGGACAGACGGAGGGAGGACGGTCTGGGACTGGGCAGGGTTCACTGTTGGACGTGAGGTCATTGTGAGTCATGTTCCACCTGACAGCACTGAGCAAACCTAACCACTCAGACGTTTGGTGGGGTCATTTCAGAGAGTGGCAGGGACACAGCAAGTCCCTGCACTGTAGGATGATGCATCCAGGGCCTTGTGGGCTCAGCTTGCTGTGGGCAGAGCCTGAGCTGACCCTCAAAGGGACAGGGAAGTGAAGCATTTGTTGTGCCTCCCATCCTCTCAGGCCTACTGGCAGGACAACTTCTCTATTTGAATGAGAAGTTAGGATGGTCACTATGATGTTGGGGTGCAGTGATTAAGCACTCAGCTGCTTAATCTGGGTTCAGCTGCCAAATTGAAAGGTTAGCAGTTCAAAGTCACCAGCCTCCCCCATGGGAGAAAGATCTGGTGGTCTGCTTCTGTAAAGATGGGAGCCTAGGTGAGCTGTGGTGCCCTAGTGGCAAGAAGCTGTACTGCAATCCCAGAGGTAAGCAGTTCGAATCCACCAGATGCTCTGCTGGAGAAGGAGGGGCAATCTCCTCCTGTACCAGTCAGATCCTATTTGATGATTGTTGTTGTTGTTGTTATGTGCTGTCGAGTTGCTTGCGACTCATAGTGACCCTATGTACAACAGCCCTAAACTCTGCTCTGTCCTCAGTGCCAATCGCACTGTCTCTGACACTCCCATCCCGATTACCCCAGTCACTGAATCAATCCACCTCATAGAGGGCCTTCCCCTCCTGCGCTGTCCCTCCACCCTCCCAAGAATGATGTCCTTCTCCAAGGACTGGTCTCTCCTTACAACATGACCAGAGTATGTTAGACGGAGTCTCAGAATCCTTGCCTCCAAGGAGCCACCTGGTTTAACCTTTTCCAGTATGAATCTGTTTGTTTTCCTAGAAGTCCATGGTATTCTCAATACTCTTCTCCAGCACCACAGCTCAAAGGCATCAATTCTCCTTCTGTCCTCCTTGGTTATAGTCCAGCTCTCTGATGCATAACAAGTGATAGCAAAGATCATGGCCTGTATCAGATGCACCTTAGTCTCCAAAGAGACACCATTGCTCTTCAGTACTTTGGAGAGGTCCCTAACAGCAGACTTTCCCATGGCAATGCGCCTTTTAATTTCCTGGCTGCTGGTGCCAAGAGTGTTGACTGTGGAGCCAAGCAAACTAAAGCTGTGAACAATCTCAATCTCTTTACCATCCTGATGCTGCCAATTGATCCAGTGTTGAGAATCTTTGTCTTCTTGACATTAGGCCTCAAGCCATATTGGGGGCTGCAGTCCTTGACCCTCTGCAGCAGGTGCTTCAGGTCTTCCTCAGTTTCAGCAAGCAGGGTTGTGTCATCTGCACAACGCAGATTGTTGATAGATCTTCCACTAATCTTGACCCCACATTTCTCCTTATAGAGCCCAGCCTCCCGGATAATCTCTTCTGCATACAGGTTGAAAAAATATGGAGATAGGATGCATCCCTGTCGTACGCCTTTCCCAATTTTGAACCATGCAGTGTTTCCTTGCTCTGTTCTGATGACTGTCTCTTGGTCCAAGTATAGGTTTCGCATTAGAACAATCAAGTGTTCTGGGATTCCCATTCTTCTCAGTCAGCCACAGTTTATTATGATCCACACAGTCAAATGCCTTTGCATAGTCAATAAAACACAGATAGACATTCCTCTGGTATTCCCTGCTTTCAGCTAAGATCCATCTAACATCACCTACAATATCCCCAGTACCATGACCCCTTTTAAACCCAGCCTGGACTTCTGGCAGTTCTCTGCTGATGTGCTGTTCCAGTCGTTTTTGGATAATCTTCCAAAGAATACAATTAAAAAAAAAGAAAAAATAAAAGATGGGAGCCTAGGAGACCCTATGGCGCAACTCAAATCAGAAATGTCTCAGTGACAATTGGTATCATGCAAACAATATATTAAATGCTACCTTTTCCCTTCGCAGAAAGGGTCAGCCAGTTGGCTTTCTCTTTTGAGCCCCAACTGGTCAGAAAAGAATGATTTTATTTTTGCTCGAACCAGGCAGCCTGGGTGTAGATCCTGGCTGTGCTGTACATCAGCTATGTATATGGATTTAGGTTGGTCACTTTCTTATTTCTCTGGGCCTCAGTTTTTTCACCTGTAAAATGGGCCACCGTAGTCCGACTGTGAGAGCATCATGACGAGAGCTGAATGAGGGGATGGCTGTGTGGTGCTCTGAGGGGTGCCTGCTGCCCCGGAAGTGTGGCATGGACAGGCTCACAGAGGTGGCAAACTGGTGGCCCCTGGGCTGAAGCCAGTTCTCAGCTCAGCTGTATTTGGCCAACAGCACATTTTCCTTTTTTTTTAAAAAAATTATTATTAATTTTTTAAATTGGTGGAAGATCTATGAACAATCTGCATTATGCAGATGACACAACCCTGCTTGCTGAAACTGAGAAGGACCTGAAGCGCTTGCTGCAGAGGGTCAAGGACTGTAGCCTCCAATATGGATCGAGGCTCAATGTCAAGAAGACAAATTCTCACCACTGGACCAATTGGCAGCATCAGGATGGATGGTGAAGAGGTTGAGATTGTTAACAACTTTAGTTTGCTCGGCTCCACGGTCAACACTCTTGGCACAGCAGCCAGGAAATTAAAAAATTTATCACGATGGGAAAGTCTGCTCTTAGGGACCTCTCCAAAGTACTGAAGAGCAAATGGTGTCTCTCTGGAGACTAACACGCGTCTGATATAGGCCATGGTCTTTACAATCACATGTTATGCGTCAGAGAGTTGGACAAGGACTAGGGAGGATAGAAGGAGAATTGATGCCTTTGAGCTTTGGTGTTGGAGAAGAGTATTAAGAGTACCCATGGACTGCTAAGAAAACAAATAGATTCGTCTTGGAGAGGCTTAAACTGGGCTGCTTCTTGGAGGCAAGGATTCTGATGCTTCGTCTGACATACTTTGGTCATGTTGCAAGGAGAGACCGGTCCTTGGAGAGGGACATCATGCTTGGGAGGGAGGAGGGCAGGTGCAGGAGGGGAAGACCCTCTAGGAAGAGGGATTGATTCGGTGACTGGGGTAATTGGGATGAGTGTGTCAGAGACAATGAGATTAGCACAGGACAGAACAGAGTTTAGGGCTGTTGTACAGAGGGTCGCTGTGAGTCGCAAGCGACTCGACGGCACATAACAACAACAACAAGAACAACAACAACATTATTATTAATTTTAACAGAAATTTACAGAAACTTTGGATTTCCATTAATTCATTGTTGCATTTTTCACCCTGCCCACCCCTCCCCCCAGTTCACTCTTCTCTTTGTAAAGTAAAAGAAAAATTCTTTCATTGTTATACAATCCCTCGCCCCAAGTCCACTCCAATAGGCAGCCTTCATTCTGAACTCCTATTGTGACAATAATATCTAATCATATATCCCTTTAAACAGTTCTCTCCCTCATCTGTTTCAATGCAGTATACAATATTTATCCCATCTTTCTCAGTCTCCTCCCAACCCCAATGTCAGTCTCGTTTTACAACAGTGACACTAACAGTATTTGTCCTTTTGTGATGGAAATATTCCACTCAGCATAATGTCCTCCAGGGTCACCCATTTTGAATAATATTTCATGAGTTCCTTGTTTTTCAAAGCAGTGTAGCATTCCATTGTCAACAGCACGTTTTCTAAAACCTGGGAAATACTTGGCTCCATTTTAAAAAGCCCACACAAAGGGGAGCTCTAGTGGCCTAGTGGCAAGGAGCTGCAACTACAATCCCAGAGGCACATGGTTCGAATCCACCAGATGCTCTGCTGGGGAAGGAGGGACAATCTCCTCCTGTACCAGTCAGATCTGATTTGACCGTACACTCACACAAAAATAAAAAATAAAAAAAAAAGTCCACATGAACACATGGCTTTGTGGGTGCCCCTGGCTGTGTCTCCTGTAAGGCAGTTTGAGGACCACTGAGCTGCATCCACCTCTGGGGACCCTCAGGCCTGCCGGGCACCAGAACACACCACAGCTGTTCCTCTTGCAGTCACTGCCTAGTGACCGGTTCTAGGGGAGTCCAACCAAGAGAATCTCATTGTTCCCATCTTGCAGACAGGCAGACTGAGGGTCCAAGAGGCCACTGGGCTGAGGTCCTGTAGCTGTGTAAAGGGCTGAGCTGGACTAGGAGCCCAGCTTTGGGCGACGTCACATCCAGTCCTCCGCTCCTCAGAATCTCACAGCCATCCCCTTCTTGTGTTCCCCCAGGTTTCGAGTTCTTTGAGGCCAGCGCCAAGGACAACATCAACGTGAAGCAGGTCTTTGAGCGCCTGGTGGACGTCATCTGTGAGAAGATGAACGAATCTCTGGAGCCCACCTCCAACCAGGGCAGTAATGGGCAAGGCCCGGCTCTGGGGGACACGCCGGTCCCCCAGCCCAGCGGCTGCAGCTGCTAGAACTGACCCCCTGCCCCCACCCACCCCCTTCTGCCTTAGCAGGGACTTTGACTCTGGCACGAGTCACAAGGGCTGTCTCCAAGCTCAGGGTGTCCCTCTCTCTTGCCAGCTGTCTCCTCCTCGCATGGCTCACCCCCCACCCCTGCCCCAGGTTGCCACCACCCTGCCCATCAGCCCCCTTGGAACCTGGGACTCTGCATTGCAGGCGGGACCTGGCTGGGTCCTGAGTTTGCTGTATTTGCAGGCCTTTCTGCGGGTGGCCGGGGGTGGCCTGTCGTGGTCATGGGTGGCTTCTGGGTTAGAAGCCGTTCCCAGCCCCTTCTGTGCTGCACATCCGGGGCGTCATCTCCGACCTGCAGCTTGGTTCTGGGGGTGAATGTGGAGGGGTTTTCTTCCACTTTCTCAGGGCCCCCGGTGTGTGGAAGAGATGGCAGTTCGAACCCTACAGACTTCTCTCTCTGGGGTCAGGACGGGGGAGAAGACAGGTGTTGGAGTCCCCTATACTTCAGGAACCCCAGAAGTGCCTTTCGGAGTGCCCCAGGACTCCCCAGCCCTGCCACCATCCCGGCCTCCCCACTGTGTCCTCGATCCTGTGGGGGGACAGCCTCAGGTGGCATTGGCCTGGCACAATCACCTGGCACCAGGCTTCGAACTCCTGTAAAGCCCTTTGCCAAGACCTGCTCTCGGTGTGGACACTGGCCGCCCGCTGGGACCTGCCTCCCTCCCCAGCACCCTCTCGGCCAGGCTGGGCAGGGGAGCAGCAAGGTCTTTCTAAATTTTACATCCTGATCGGAAAGGAAGTTGAGCAATGTCCTCACAGCCTGTCCTCGCCCATCGGCCTTATGATGAAAGGACTCGGCTCCTGGCACTAGAGGGCCCAGAAGTCCCCTGCTCCCGCCCTGTCACCCCCAGGGTCTGCGTGGGACCTTTGTGCCCCTGGATGGGTCATGTCTGAGGTTGTGCTGCACTAGGCCTGAGGAAGAAGAACTCTGTAGCTTTGCTTGAGGACACAGCTCGGAGGCCCTCTTGCCCACGATGTGTATACTGTGAGTCTCCTGGATTGAGTTGCTGTTTGGAGGCATTCACTTGGACCCCTCAGCTGTCAAGGACTCCCACTGGGAGGTTTGGTGTCTTCTGGGGACACAACAGTCCTTCTCCACCCCCCTACTACAGTCTAAACTCAGACAGTGTGGTGCCTCTTTTTTCCCTAGAAACCTCAACACCATAGTGTGACCAACACTGTGAGGAAGGCCTTCATGCCCACTTCCCTGGTGCCAGGTCGGAGGTGACGGCCATTTTCCAATATGGCTTTCTCAGGTGTCATCTTAAAAGAGCTCAGGGCCTCTTCCTGGGTGTAAGGAGAGTTCAAGTCTTGGTGGAGGTGTTAGCCCACAAACAGAGATTGCAAGTAGTTAATGTGCTTGGGTGCTAACAAAAAGGTCAGAGCTTCAAACCTACCCAGAGACACCATGGAAGAAAACCTGAGATCTATTCCAGAAAAGTCAGCTGTTGAAAACCCCGTGGAGCCCAGTTCTTCCGAGAGGCATGGGATCACCAGGTCTGGGAATTGGCTTGATGGCAGCCAGGTTAGAGGTGTGGTGGTTTGTGGTGTTTTTTTTTTTTTGGTTGTTTGTTTTTTTGGCTTGTCTGTTTTATTTCGGCATTTTTCTTTTATGAGGGCTCTGTTGTTAGCCGCTCTAGATCAGCCCCTGGCTTTCGGTGACCCCACAGTGCAATGAAACACTGCCTAATCCTGCACTATCCCCATGATGGGCCATGGCTTCAGTTATGATTTAGAAGGTATTTGATGGCTCGTTCTTAGAAGTGGATTGCCAGGCCTTTCTTCCTAGTCCTTTGTCAGGTAATTATCTTGAAATATGTTGAGCATCATGGCAGCCTGCAGGCCTCCTCTGGTCGACCGTGACTGTGCCTGAAGTGCTTTGAATGGAAATGAAATCTGGGTCTCCTACCTGGAAAAGGAAGAGGCTCTAGGGGGACCCCCTTTACCTCTTGCCAGGGGTTACCCTCGGAACTTCCAAGTGAAGGTGCCATTGAAAAGACCACTAACTAGACCTGCGTGGAATGGACAAGTTCCTAGAAGCCTGCAGAGAGGGTACCCTAGTTTCTAGGGCGGCAGCCACAATTTCTAGCTGTTTTTAATGTCAAAATGAAAGCAGCTAAAAAAGGCTGCCACGTGGCCCATCAAGATGCCATCTGCCAGTGTGTTTTCCCCTAACTGTTGCCAGAAAAAAATGGTGCCTCAGAGAACCTTTATCCAAGGGCCAGCCGGTGGCGGCCCTGGTGAAGAAACCTCAGTTCCGTGCAGCTCGTTCCAGGGGCCGGTGTGGCAACACTCACAGCAGTTTAACAATGTTCCAACATTTCTGCTACAATGAAGCCACCGTGATTCCTCCGCCTTCTTTCTCCAAGCTGGAAGTGACATGGCAAAAACACCCATAACTTCTAAGAAGAATGCAAGTTTTTATTTTCTGGCTTTTCTTGGAGGGAGGTTGGGGTGTGGAGTTCTTGTGTACATGAAGGACCCTGAGACCAGTGATCAGTGGGGATGGAGTCTCACCAAGTTTTCGGAAGGAAATCAACCCCAAAGGCTGAGTGACAGACAAGAGCTGTCCAGACCCAGGGAGAGTGAGAGGCAGGGTGGCCAGCTGGGCCTGGGTCCTGCCCTAGTGCCTTTTCATCTGACCCCTGGGATGAGCAATTTGCCCTTCCTGGGGAGGCCTTGGTGGGAGGTGGCCTTAGTCCTCATATTGGGCTCTGCTGTTTTTTCTTGGCTTCTCTAAGGGCCGTGCTCTTCATTGTCTCTTATTTTCCTCCTCCGTGTACAAGTAGGAGAAGTCGGTCTTGATGTTAAAGCACAAATTCCGCCTGTTTGCCCCCGGCCTATCCTGAACACTACAGCATGAACTCTCAGGTCTGGTCACTGAGGTCCTGCGTAAGCAGCTCCTTGATGTCCAGTTTGTAAAGACATGCACTTTTCTCCAACCCAAGAAAGAACATTAAAACCATTATCCCCACGTGTGTGTGAGCTTTCGTTCCATTAGCAAATGTGGTTTCCGGGAAGAGCGCGTGGGTTCCCGGCCCTGGGGAGGGCTGCTGGAGGGAGACGTGATGCAGCAGAACCTGCAGAGGCTCTGGCCTGCTGACCGTGGCCTTGGGCTCAGAAGGATCAACTGTGGGGGGATGTAAGTTCTGTCCACCAGCCTGGGGACGCCTGAGTCAGATTCTGTCTCCTCCCTGCTCGTATTCCTCCCTGGCCACCACCTGACCTGGTCACCAAGCCCAAATTTCCCCCGCTACACTCAAGGCCTTGTTCTGTCTGCCCTGTTGCCTCAGGACCCCCAACTCCTCCTACTGTCCCCTCACTCACACAGCCCCAGACACGCAGGCCCTCCTACCAATGTTTGAATATACCAGGCTTTTGCCTCTGGGCCTTCACATTGGCTATTCCCAATGCCTGGAACACTGTGCCCCCGAGTTCCAAGAGGCTCTTTCCACACCTCCTCTTTGATGTCTTTACTCAAATCCTACCTCCTCAGTGGGTTCTACAACCCCAAACCCAGGCTAATCAGATCAGGAGATGGAGCCCCAATTTGGGGAGTTAGTTAAGAATTCCCACATGATTCCAATTACAGCCAGGACTGGGAACCAGTGATTTACTGGAAATACGGAGGACAGAACCACAAAACCCAAACCCACCATCCAGTTGATGCTAACCCAGCAACCCTGCTCTGGTGGCCTAGTGGCAAGAAGCTGTGCTGCAATCCTGAAGGCACGCCGTTCAAGGATGAGCATTCTCCACCCATACCATTAATGGCCTCTGAAAACCCACCTGCAGGGTCAGCTTTGGGTTGGGTCAGGCTCTACGGTACACAACCACCACCACCTTGCAGGACTGTAGATAGGCCCTAGAGTCTCCAAGGCTGAGAATCTTGACAGGTGCTCATTCCCCCGTCATTCTCGCAAGGAGCCACTAGCGAATTTGAACGGCCAATGTTCTGGCAAGTAGTCAGGTGCATTTCATAGAGAGAGGAACAGGGCCAGCGTGACATATCAATGCAACAGGCACACCCAGGACATGTGGCACTTCTCTGGAAATGTCATGCTCTTTTCAACAAGTCACGACAGATGGAGGGTGAGGGTGAAGAGGCTACAGCAGCGGTTTTCAAAGAGTGTTCCCTAGGGCAGATGATGTCACCTGACACTTGTTAGGAGTATAGCGTGCGTGTGTGTGTGTGTGTGTGTGTGTGTGTGGTGATTATTTGACTTGAGTTTACAGAGCCAATTGGGTCTTCTGTTCACCCACTTGTACACATCAATTACAATACCCACTATGTTTCTGAGGCTGAAAATCTTTATAGGAGGAGACTGCCCATCTGTGGAGACTACCCACCATGGAGCTCCTGGTGGATTTGAACTTCCAACCTCTCTGTTAGCAACCTGACATGTAACACTCTTCATCACCCGGGCTCTGGACTAGAATGAGAATCTGCAATCACCAGCCAAGAAATCAAAGCATTGGGAAAAATCTACTATCAGGGACCTCTTCAGAGTACTAAAGAGCAAGGATGTCAGTTTAAAGACTAAGGTGCACCTCATATGAAAGAGCAAGGATGTCAGTTTAAAAACTAAGGTGCACCTCATCCAAGACATGGTCTTTTCATTTACTTGAATTTCATTTACTTAATGTTGAACAATGACTGAGGATGGCAGAAAAACAATCAATGCCTCTGATTTGTGGTGTTGGGGAAGAATGTTGAACACCCTATGAATTGCCAAGAGAACAAACAGGTCTGTCCTGGAGAAAGTGAAACCAGGGTGCCCCTTAGAAGCAAGGATGGTGAAACTTCATTTCATTTACTTTGGACATACTGTAAGGAGGGTCAGTCCTTGGAGAAGGACTTCATGCTTGGGAAGGTGAAGGGTCAGCAAAAGAGAGGAAGACCCTCCGTGAGGTGGATTGACATGGTGATTATGACAAT